GTATGCGGGGGGAATGGGGGGGGGAATCATGATATCGTCTATTGGCCCAACCCTACCCGTGACCTTTCCAGCAGGATTGCGTAATGCGTGAAGACGTGCATGCGCATCGCAGAGCTAGAGCAAGCCGAGCATTTGGGGTTAAAAAGTGTATAAATAATATTTTTTTAAGAAAATGACAGATCGTTTCTCCAGATAAGCCCCTTATTTCTTGGCTGGGATCGTGTAGAGCCCTTTGAAGCTGCATTGACACTGCAATTTTGACCTTGAAATCGTTGGCCACCTTTGAAGTCCACTACATGGAGAAAAATCCTGGAATGTTTTCCTCAAAAAACTTAATTTCTTTGCGACTGAAGAAAGAAAGACATGAAAATCTTGGAAGACATGGGGGTGAGTAAATTATCAGAAAATTTTTATTCTGGATGTGGACTTATCCTTCAAGGAATTAAGTCTTGTTTTCTGAAAATATTATCAACATTTTGTTAGTTTTTGCTTAAAACAAGTTTTTTTTTTTTTATTCAAAGGGAAAACAAGATTATTTTTCTTGCCCTATTGACAGTTTTTTTTGTTATTAAACAAGACTTAATATCTGAAGTCATTTTGCTTGTAAAGAAAATGTATCTCTTGATTTAAGAATGTTTAGATATTTGTAAAGGAAAACAAAACATCATTTTTTGGCGAGCATATGTTGTAGACCAAAAAAAAAATTAAAAAGGACATGACGGTGAGGACAGAATTTTTATTTTTGGGTAAAGAATCCCTTTAAAAAAAACTAATTACAGATCTAAGCATTGCTCCAGGCACAAAACCTTAGATTTACATATGGGTTTACAGCTTCACACCTCCCTTAAACTCTAGCCAACACCTATATTGTGAAATTAACCACAGTGTAAGGCATCCTGTGTACATATGGGTTCACACCTCCCTTAAACTCTAGCCAACACCTATATTGTGAAATTAACCACAGTGTAAGGCATCCTGTGATCCTGTGATACAATCCAAGAGCTGCTGCAGAGCTTTTTTGTACCAGTAGATTATGATTTTCAGCAAAACACAGTACACACAAGTCACCTTCCTGTCCAGGGACCCAGTAGTCGGGCTTATGGGATCGAGGTGAAGGCCAACAGTGTGGGGATTTGCAGATAGGGAGGGTGTGGGGATTTGGGCTTAACCTTCACTGATCTTACACACTAGCTCACAAGCTACAAGCTCTGGGACTCAAACAAGATGAATGGCATGAGGGCAGAATCGGTTATCAAATGAACCCCTGAACTTTCAGCAGGAGAATCAAGTATATCATGTAGATGTGACGTGAAGTACTGCGATTTAAGTGGTACAGTATTAGTGTAAATTGTACCAAAAAAGAGTCTCAAAATCCCACACCGTCCAAGAATCACGAAACCTAGATGATTTACATAAGATTTCCATGGCCCAGAGAATAGCAAATATTGTTTTTGCATTATTCTGAATTGCATTTAAAAGAATAGAAAAACGTGAGATTTTTGCTTACCTTGAGGTCCTTGGAGTTTGGCTTTCTTAACTGCAAGAAAAAAAATAAAAGTGGTCAGAAAGACAAAATAATTACATAATCATGCTAAGAGTTATATACTGTACATTGGCACAAGTTTAGGTAAAAATGTACACAGAAGAACACAAAGGAAGATAATATTTTCATAACAGTCTTGGTGACTTCCATTGTATGAACCAATAAATACTCAAAAGAGAATAAGTCATACAGGTTTGGAAAACCATAAGAATGAACAAATATTTCTTTCTTTTCTTTTCTTTTTTTTCAACAATTCCAGTGCACTCTGTACTTGGATTTAATGAGTAATTTCAAGCAAAAAAATAAATAAAAATACTAAACATAAACAGTGATGAAGACACTATGTTCACATCTTCATTTGATACATGTTATCTAATACATAATTCTATATGTCCTATATACTGAATGGAGTCACATGTTTGTAAAATCTTTTCTTAACAGCCATACAGACATTACAAATACATACAGTGAATTTATTAACTGATATTTTATTTTTTGTTTGTTTACTAATATTTTCTTTATTTGGTTGGTTGGTTATTTGTTTATTTATTCATTCTATTGAAATATATATTTTCCATCCATCTCGTATTTATTCCCTTTAGGGGTTCCGCCTACCCGTCATTTTCTTTCCGAACACGGTATTGGGGTATGCGGGGGGAATGGGGGGGGGAATCATGATATCGTCTATTGGCCCAACCCTACCCGTGACCTTTCCAGCAGGATTGCGTAATGCGTGAAGACGTGCATGCGCATCGCAGAGCTAGAGCAAGCCGAGCATTTGGGGTTAAAAAGTGTATAAATAATATTTTTTTTAAGAAAATGACAGATCGTTTCTCCAGATAAGCCCCTTATTTCTCGGCTGGGATCGTGTAGAGCCCTTTGAAGCTGCATTGACACTGCAATTTTGACCTTGAAATCGTTGGCCACCTTTGAAGTCCACTACATGGAGAAAAATCCTGGAATGTTTTCCTCAAAAAACTTAATTTCTTTGCGACTGAAGAAAGAAAGACATGAAAATCTTGGAAGACATGGGGGTGAGTAAATTATCAGAAAATTTTTATTCTGGATGTGGACTTATCCTTCAAGGAATTAAGTCTTGTTTTCTGAAAATATTATCAACATTTTGTTAGTTTTTGCTTAAAACAAGTTTTTTTTTTTTTATTCAAAGGGAAAACAAGATTATTTTTCTTGCCCTATTGACAGTTTTTTTTGTTATTAAACAAGACTTAATATCTGAAGTCATTTTGCTTGTAAAGAAAATGTATCTCTTGATTTAAAAATGTTTAGATATTTGTAAAGGAAAACAAAACATCATTTTTTGGCGAGCATATGTTGTAGACCAAAAAAAAAATTAAAAAGGACATGACGGTGAGGACAGAATTTTTATTTTTGGGTAAAGAATCCCTTTAAAAAAAACTAATTACAGATCTAAGCATTGACTCCAGGCACAAAACCTGAGATTTACATATGGGTTTACAGCTTCACACCTCCCTTAAACTCTAGCCAACACCTATATTGTGAAATTAACCACAGTGTAAGGCATCCTGTGATGTCCCATTACAATCCAAGAGCTGCTGCAGAGCTTTTTTGTACCAGTAGATTATGATTTTCAGCAAAACACAGTACACACAAGTCACCTTCCTGTCCAGGGACCCAGTAGTCGGGCTTATGGGATCGAGGTGAAGGCCAACAGTGTGGGGATTTGCAGATAGGGAGGGTGTGGGGATTTGGGCTTAACCTTCACTGATCTTACACACTAGCTCACAAGCTACAAGCTCTGGGACTCAAACAAGATGAATGGCATGAGGGCAGAATCGGTTATCAAATGAACCCCTGAACTTTCAGCAGGAGAATCAAGTATATCATGTAGATGTGACGTGAAGTACTGCGATTTAAGTGGTACAGTATTAGTGTAAATTGTACCAAAAAAGAGTCTCAAAATCCCACACCGTCCAAGAATCACGAAACCTAGATGATTTACATAAGATTTCCATGGCCCAGAGAATAGCAAATATTGTTTTTGCATTATTCTGAATTGCATTTAAAAGAATAGAAAAACGTGAGATTTTTGCTTACCTTGAGGTCCTTGGAGTTTGGCTTTCTTAACTGCAAGAAAAAAAATAAAAGTGGTCAGAAAGACAAAATAATTACATAATCATGCTAAGAGTTATATACTGTACATTGGCACAAGTTTAGGTAAAAATGTACACAGAAGAACACAAAGGAAGATAATATTTTCATAACAGTCTTGGTGACTTCCATTGTATGAACCAATAAATACTCAAAAGAGAATAAGTCATACAGGTTTGGAAAACCATAAGAATGAACAAATATTTCTTTCTTTTCTTTTCTTTTTTTTCAACAATTCCAGTGCACTCTGTACTTGGATTTAATGAGTAATTTCAAGCAAAAAAATAAATAAAAATACTAAACATAAACAGTGATGAAGACACTATGTTCACATCTTCATTTGATACATGTTATCTAATACATAATTCTATATGTCCTATATACTGAATGGAGTCACATGTTTGTAAAATCTTTTCTTAACAGCCATACAGACATTACAAATACATACAGTGAATTTATTAACTGATATTTTATTTTTTGTTTGTTTACTAATATTTTCTTTATTTGGTTGGTTGGTTATTTGTTTATTTATTCATTC